ACTAAATTCAATTTTATCGTCTTCGACACCCCATTTCACACCCAATGCACGTTGCACTGGTAAATTGTCATTGATATTGTCGAAATCCAAGTTTTTGGTTTCATCAACTCTATCAGATGCCGGGATAGTTTTCATCAAATTGCGACTGTTACTGACCCATTTTGTCAAATTAAAACCACCGGATCTTAATACAGTACGAATATCTTTCACTAAGGAAATGGCTTCAGGTTCACTCGGCAACGATTTTAAAAAGTCATCCACGTAAAAATCATTGTTGATTGAGTCAATGACACTTTGATCTACTTTACCTATATTGTCGCTTGCTACACGTTTGAGAGCGAAATTGGAACAGCTCGGAGAACTGACAGCTCCAAATAAATGGACTAACATACGATATTCAGTTAATGCTTGATTTATGTCCCCTTTTGGCCACCATAAAAATCTCATAAAGTCTACATCAGATTTACTAACTCTGACTTGATAAAACATGCTCTCATGACAGCAAAATAGTCTTGTCGCCATCTTAAAAGCACACCGAGTAATTTATTTGTCAAGTCAGGGCCTGACAATAATTGTTCATTGAGAGATGTATTATCATACATCAAAGGGCAGTTAAATACCACTCTCACCTTATTGGGTTTTCTTGGATGCACAACATTATGATGATTTAAATACCATACTTTACCATCTAGTTTCACCAATTCACCTTTTGGCACTTTTTCGGCATAGTTTTTCGATTCTAAATTATTCATGAAATCGGTATATTGTTTATGAAGAAATTCATTGACACTTAATCTCTTTCTCAGTTTATAAGCGAACACTTCGGCTTGAAGCCTGTTATTTGGCATCACAACATCACGATTTCTTAAAGGCAGATTGGTTTCATAATGTCCATCTTTTAATTTTATAGAATTGTCCATAATATTGATGAACCGTTTATCTTCTACTGACATGAATTGTCGGTCATCACATAGCCTTTCACCGAATTCGAGATTAAAGTACCTTTTAACTTGTAGCTCTAAATTATGGTCAACATGACAATAATTAACACTAATATGATTTTCAAATTTCCCGTTAAGACCGTAGAACAACCAACCCAAAGGTGATCTTACAGCATACGGTTCACCGAGGTTGCCTGTACGAATCTCGAGTGGCTGTGTCGCCAATGGAAAGTTCACACCAATCATCACTGTCACTTTGGGTATACAGTTACCACCCAAATCAGGTAATTTAATGTCCTTAAAATGTTCCCATTTATTGATATCGGACTGTTGAGGTGCATCCTTCATAGTAACTGGAATTTCATCCCTTATGTACGCTGGAGGCAAATCATAAAATGCTTTACCACAAACATCACTAACTTGTACAAGATCAGTCACTATACTAGTGTTTATAGTCTCTTCCAAATTAATGGTTTTTAACACAACTTGAGTTTGTTTACATCTGAGTTTCAGATGATATGAAATCTCATTGTTAAAAAATAACACACCCGAGCCATTATCTACGAAGGCATAGGTTGAAACTATATCGTCATTCACTTTTGGTTTTAGGCAGATAGGAACAATTGCCATTAAAGGGTTTCCACCCATAATTTCAGCTTTAACACAACCTGAAGTTATTTTGTAGTTCGTATTATCAATACTTTTCTTGACACTGGTTTCACTATTATTATTAAAGTTTTTCCTGTCCCTTGCAGGATCATGCATAACAGTTTGGTGAGTTCTCGTACACTTGTCACATTTTGACCATTCAGGATTTGGACATGTATCCTTCATATGACCAGGATTTAGGCATGCATAACACAAACCAAGTTTTCTTACTGACATATCACGATCAGATTGAGTGATTCCAGCAAATCGTCTACACTGCAATAAAGAATGATACGTTTGCTGTCCACAATAAAGGCATGGCGACTTTGCTGCTAGATTTTCACGTTTCGTACCATGTTGTACCACAGGTTGAATGTTTGTTGCGTTCACTCTCCTTTGTGGGATTTTTGGTTGAACGCTGAATGACTGATAATTTGATCTCTGTTGGTAACCCAATTCACTAACTCTCGGATCGTTCTCGTTCCTTGATAAAACACCCACAAAGTTTTCAAAGTCAATTAAAGTAGGAGAACGATTCTCCTTTTCACGGAGTCGACCAACTTCCGAAATCCACTTTTGTTGTATGGCTATAGGCAGTTTACTACACAATGTCTTAATAAATTCAAAACCATCAAGAAAGTTCATGTCTTTATTATTTTGTTTTGAATTAACACAATTGGTTAAGAATATTGAAAACTTTCTTAACCCCACTTTATCACCATTCTGAATTTTCGACCAATGTTCAGCTTTTGATGCAAATGCAGAGGCTATGAGTTGCGAATTACCATAGTCCCTGTCTAACAGTCTTCTTGCTTCACGATACGCATCAACAGGCGGTTCTATCAAAGGGCAGAATTTGATCAGTTCGTGTGCTTCACCCTTTGTGTATTTTAACATAAATTCTAAAAGTCTGGCAGGGTCACTAGTGTTCCGTTCAATAATAAATTGAAAATTCTTCACAAATGTTTGATAAGATAACACATCAGTTCCATCAAAATAATGTAATTCCTGACTAGGAAGTACTTGGTCCCTCTGATTTTCAACAAGTTTAGCCAATATATCGGATATGTCAACATTATTCACAGCCGTTTTAGGGCAACTATCAGAACTCACAGGGATTTCCGGTTCAATATTCACACAACTTTCAGGTTCAGTCACATGATTAGAAACACTGCTGGGAGAATGTTCAGGAATTATAGGTTTTTGTTTCAATGTTAGTTCTGAATCTGACACTCTACTTTTATTTTCTAACACTGTTGCTATTTCTGTTGCTGCTTTAAGTTGTGCTCGCAGACGTATTTCTTTTTGTTTTCTGTTGATTTCTTCCATGGCTCCTTCCATGGCTCGTTGCATTTCAAGTTTTTGTTTTTCTAGTTGATTGGACTCTTCCAAAGCAAACAATTCCTCTTTTAGTTTAATTGCACGCATTTTGGCTCTAGAGGCTGAAGAAATTTTACTCCCTTTACTACTAATATTCGAGATACTATCTTCGGGATTCACAGTGGGTTTATCATCAACCATAGACATAGTACCGGCCCCATGTGGCGCACGTGCTGCTGTCACTTGTTCGTCATGAATACCGGCCCCGTGCAGGCCAGTCGGCCTGTCGTCATTCTCAGTTACTTCAATGTCATTTTGTATCACATCATCGGAAATCAATCCAGGATCCGAGACAGTTTCACGACTAGAATTTGTACTTACAATTTCTATGTGTGGCTCCAAGACAGGCGGAGGAGGGGTTATGTTTCCCGCTTCACGTTTCTTCATTCCAGACATCAGAAAAACACAAATTAATGTCACAAAAGTGAAAGTCGCACAACACGATGTTTTCATCGAAATGTCAATTTCAGATGTTTTCTACTTGATTATGTGGATGCCGAGCTGGTGAAGACTAGTTCGATGAAGTTCACCCCACTAAATTATTCACATGACACCGCTACAAATCTAAGCTAGTCCCTTTTCAGCATATCGTTACATACGCGCGTCACCGCTTTGATAAAACCCCATGATGTGTCCATAAGAAATATGAAACTGCAACATAACAACTATTTATTCACCATCACATTAGTTATTTCACAAAGGTTCACTGGTTACAAGTCATATTCTGATAGATACATACATAGATAATCTTAGCGTTTTGGCTCGTGTTAACTTGCGGTAGAAAACAGTACGCTGTCACCAGCTCACATCACGCACTTTCATCTTTACTTTCATCGCACATGTTCACAACATCCGCTCGGTTGCTAAGCAACTGACTCGATTTTCAAGACACTAGATACTATCCTACAATATGCAATTAGACTCGATTAACTCACATTTAACTTAATATACTGCATGTATGCACAGACACATTATATTGCCATATGTAGATTTTGAACATTACACCGGGTGTATCCCCTTCCAAATTAAGGTGTGAGTAATCTGGGATGTGGGAGGGGTTGTTGCGCTTCAAACTATAGCTGACCAGCTACCTCGAGATTGTAGTTCTGGGTTCGGGCCCTGGTATGAGCGTATTTGACAGTTGCCTTCTCAATCGTGGTGGTGATGAGCATGTCGATCAAGTTACGAACCCCAGCCACCGTACGATTGACTAGGATTCGAAACTTGATCGACTTTTGGCTAAAGGTTTCTCTTTTATAGGTGACTGTTTGACTCTAAAAAGGACAGGCTGGGATTCGTACTTTGATAGAAGTTTGAATCTTATGTTCTGATACTGGTGTAGCTGGTGTTGCTCGCTCAGAATATATCCCAGAATGAACCAATCAAATATTTTTTTTTATATTTTCGGGTCCCTACGCTCTTTTTTCTTGATTTAGCCCTCAGCCAGTTTGACTTGACCCCCTACCGTGGCATCGGCCCTGGTTTACGAGAAACATACGATTGACAAACGAATATACATTCACAAGAAAAACTTTTCAGCAATATTTTCCAATAGACTTTTGTTCTACTGGATACATATGAATATAGCAAGTAGAAAATGAGTGAGATATAAATCCAAGACTTATAAACGTATAAAATGTACATTAATCATTAATTTATAAAGAATAATTTATTAATAGGCCTACTCATAAAATTCGCCGCACAATACGCGTTCACGCGTTCAATGTAAATGCATGAACTAATAACGAAGACGAATATGTTATCGAAAAATGAAACTAAAGAAGATAAATATATATATGGAATATAAACACAATGAAGTTAATCTTTATATTAAATGACTAGAATTACCCCCCCCCCCCCCCACACACACACACCCCACCCCCGCCCCTTAACCGTTTAGGTAGAATATAGAAAAGTTACCAAGAGCATATAGTAGCCTAAATATTTACACAATTCGATAAATCCAGGTTAAACGCATGCGTACATAGATCGTAGTTCCGGTTAAAGGGAAAATTCGTGGTAACTGAAGCACTTGTGTGTATATAGACCAGTGGCGTTATAAGATATGGGAGTAGAACAGTAAACATGAATCTATATTATGCTTTAAGTTTTCTCTTAAATTTCTTACTCCTGTGTAATTTAACAGTTGTACATGGTATAAATAACTGCTCATGGCTTGTGACAGAAAAAATTGGGAGTGAGGACAAGGTAGGTAGCCTATAAACTATTACTATTTAGCCTCCAAATCAGAGGTCTCGTCTCGAATATAGGTACACAAAACGAGACCTATATATTATAATGAAGTCAACACACACTCAACCAGCGTGAATCATTTTAACTAGCAGTTTGTGAAACACTCTGGTTTTACTGTATCACCATATAACTTATTTTCTAAGATTGCGGACAAGAAGTTAGAAATAATATTTATAAAAACTTTATATATTAACACAATTTATGTATCTATATATATTTTAATTTATGTCAGAATGATTTAATGTATGCCTTTAGGAGTATGTTCTATAGTATCTAAAGTTAAATACTCCAGACTTAGTGAATTAAGAAATTTCTTAATAAGACAAAATAATCCACAATCTCACCAACAATCACGTGCCCTAACCTTATTTACATCTTAGCGACCTTGACGAAAATTGAGCTGACCTTAACAAATAGATCTAGCCATCTGGAAGATTTTTATTATATAACCCGCGTTCTAGTTGATGTGGGGGATTAGCCCATGAAACGCTCTATATTATAGTGACAATTGGCGCGCGGGGTGCACGATATTGTGGGTGGACCACTAGAAACATCAATGCTGATTGGTTAATCAAATGTCTGATGTCATAGGGTCAAAAGCCGTCCGTATGACCCCCGACGCGATCTCCCACTACAACCGGTAAGATCATTATCGCCTAAATAGGTTCAAGAGAATTGAAAACGTTCGCCAAAAACAAGTGTTTATTTCTATTTTTCAAAGTAATTTTATATAGGTTCCATTATCTGTATGTTATCCTACGAATAATTTTGTGCTAATCGCGAGCGGAAGAAAATAATAAGCTGTCAACATAATCAGATGCGGCCAATGTGAACACGTGTATCCATGCTACTGTTAGCATTATTACATAAAACATGGCGTAAAGGCCACTACCGGTATCAAAATCAGACTTTCTTTGGTAAGGTCACAAAGACAAATAAAAAACGTAAACAAAAATATGTGAGTGAGGTTAGTATCAAATAATATTATCGTAACTATTAACTTATCGGGTAGATTTCGTCAAAACCTGGGTTTTGTGTAAGATAAGATACGATAAGGTTTATTGCATAGAAACGTCCAAGGGGAACAGCCAACAGTTGCATTAATGTCATTATTGCAATAAACATTCATGTAGGCCGCCGATTAGGACGGTCCATCCCATACTGCCCAATATAATACCATCCAATACAGAACTATCGTGTAGGACCGAATAAAATCTATTTTAATCACAATAATTGTCTTGGTGGTTTTTCGTTCCTTTCTGTTTGAAAATAAAAAGAGAAATGGACATGTGAAGCAAGACTGTTTTTATATCAAAATAAATTAATATTCAAAATAATCCCTGACAATACGTAAGCAAGCCGAAAATACGTAAGCTAGGCGAATACAACGCTGAAAGTTCAGACAAATAGCATGGTGTCGTAACATTTAATTTGCACTTGAATGTTAAAATTAACACAAAAACCTTTTTTTGTACTTTATGTAGTTTATATGAATCAATGTTTCAGAACAGCAAGTGAAGAACTACAATTATTTTGGCGTGAATTTACAAGATAGTATATAAGTGTTGTGTGACATCACGGGTTAAATTACGCCCTATTATGTAAATTTGTAAGATTGAATTATAAAACATGTAGTTTCTTTTTTCTTTGAGATTACACTTTTATTGGGGCACTACAGACAATTAAAAACCTGTAACGGTAAATCTCGTTGATCTTTGAGGTATATTCTATGCCCGAAATAACTTGCGGTCTGAAAGTCATTGGATATATACAAGAAATTTGGGGTTATTCTTCGGAAAGTTTTTCTTTAAACCTGTAACGGGTTATTCTTCCAGGGTAGGTTTTTTTTCATGAGAAAACATGGTATAAGGTTTTTCTTGCGGGACACTGAGAATACGATCCAATACGCGATTTAAATAAATGTCAGTAATTCCAGACACAGCTTGTGTGTACAATGATTTTTTTTGCCATCATTTAAATTTTGACATTTAATATAGACATCGATTGGTTTAATTCATTTTTACATAGTCCGAGCTTAACGTCAGTGGGTTCTCGGGCATTCGAGCTGAGATTTAGATACATTCAATATGGTTTTATGAGCTTTCGGGCATTCGAGCCCTGAAACATTAAAATAAGTGTCTAGCTATTTTGCCGCATGTGAATAAAATCGAACCCAATACACCGCATTTCCGATCAGCGAATAACACATCCTTTTACTCGAACAACACATTTTTAAAGTAACGATGCTAAAGTAGATAATGTCCGAGCATAGAGTCGGTTTTAAAACAGGCGGTGGTGGGCTTGTTACATAGCGAGCAGCATAGATCGTTGAAATTTCAATTTTACATATCTTTGTAAAACCGATTGACTCGGACATTATCTAACGTTGGTATTTTAATTTTTTTGCAATTAAATGTCAAATAATCAATCTGAGCGCACATTAGCATGGATGAAGCCGTGAGAAATTTGATACTTTAGCGAGAAGGAGAGGGAAATGTGGTTTAACGTCCACTCGACACAAACTAGGTCATTTTGGGACTAACACATTGTTCAATTTTATTTCACTATTTCGCTTGCGCGTAGGGGTCTTTAGCAGTGGGAATAAACCGGATGGCATGGAGAAAAACCCACGAGGTTGGACAGGCGACCCTACTCCTTGTCATGTACAACCGGGGAATCGAAACCACGCCAGTTGACTCAGTGGCATACCTTATGATACAGCGCGCACGTGCTAACCATTCCGCCATCCACCCCCCCCCCCCCCCCTTGTAACGCTGAACGGAATTGGACAATTTTTGGACTTGGGGATTCATCTTCCACAATATTGTCGTTTGCAAATGATTAACATAGCGCTAAAATGGCGCATTTTCTTTAGGACTATAAACTTGGACTGAATTTAAAAATAGTTGCTTATATTTAATTTAATTGTTAATTACATTGTTTGTATTAATGCCGTTTTCGGACCGTTTTTGACTGACTTTAGCCATACAAAATACTATTGGCATACTGTCTGTCATATTTGTTACATTTGTCGAAACAAGATAACAAACTCCATCATAACTTTCATGTGTTTGTTTTAAATATACCCACACTTATTTGAATCTATCTAGAAGGAAAAACTGGCTAATATCTTCTGGCACCATTTCGCGGCATTCCACAAACTCTGTTTATGAATCACGAACCGCACATTAACATTTTAATGCGAGGTAAAGAAATTTAAAAAAAAAAGAAAAAGGATCTAGAATGAGGAGTAATAGAATTGAACCAATATAACGTGCGACACCGTCGTGTATTTTACTGTTTGCGGGAATATCGCCTAAATGCAATCCCTACAGTCAACACGTGTTATATCAAGTGTTGAATTCGTTATTTTATTTCAGGATTCACAATGAAAGTTTGCGTATGTTTAGTCATCTGATTTGGACATGTTTTTGTCGCGTGATTTTGATAACTATTCTAAGCGGAATGGGGTTATTATTAAAGGTATTTATTGCATCAGTTATTGAACAAAAAAGACATAAACAATATCTGTGCACCTAGTCCGTTCCAATACACACGCGTATACTGTATATCGTGGTTCCTTAAATTTCGTTTTATAGATACACATATTTACTTACTTATCCATTGTACAAATGACCACAAAATTATGCTTTCATTACTTAAAGATCTGTTTCCATATGAAGGAAGGTGTCCGGTAGTTCATATTTTTAGAGCGGAATTAAAAGAAATAAGCGGGAAATAAACAGCCGGTTCATCTCGATCATCAAGTTCTATTTTCCCAACTTTCGCCATCCGCAAATCGAGCTTATTTAGTTACAAGAAATCCAATTAGTTCGTAAGATAAAATGAAAATCAAAGATAAACGTTTCCAGTTTCATTGACTGCAATATAAGAATAGAATTGGTTACTAGGTCGTCTATGGTGGCATAGTATGTCAAGTATGCAAGATGTGCAAGTCAATCACTCAACGTACTGTGCAAGTCAATTCATTTACAGTGAAAAACAAGTAGGCTACACATATTCTTGGATGGATAAAGATTTTTAGTTAAATTTCAAGCATGTTTTGACATTAAAAGCAATACGGTGGTATACAACCTTATCTGATTGTGTAGTTGTAACCTACACTGCATGTTTTGATTAGATGCTATGCAAACATTGAGATAAATCTGCCAAGCCATCCAAGAGATAATCTAATTAAAGTGACTGTGTGTGATTTGAATATTTCGGAAAACATCAATTTTTGTATGGATCAATATGTGTTCAGATAGATTTTTTACAATTTAATTAAGAAAACAAAATTTAAATATCAATGCTATAGGTATCTCTTATATTGCTCAAATCATGCTCAGAGACTTTAAGTTAAAGTTTAACCTGAATTTTATGAACTGTACAATTTTTAGTGCTTTTCAGGGTGTCTTAGTAAGGGAAAAATACCATACTTGGTCAGTGCTTAGATAATGGATAATTAAGCATCTATATATATTGAATATTATATTAGCCTACATTCTGTTTTTGTTTGTAAGAGCAACAATATCTCCTTAAAGATCTTGTTACAGGATTACAAGACCATTTTAATTGTTTTTGGTTTAAATTGTGCAAGAATGAGTCATTTGTTCAATAATCTTGTCTAAATGTCTAGTCAATTTATGATGTTGAAACATTTTCTGATTATGTGTAGTCTTGTTCGGGCCAGTCAGGACTAAAATTTGAATTGAATAGTATTAAGTTAAGTGTTTTTCCCTGCTCCTGTATTCACATAAAAATACCACTCCCTCACTACTTTATTAACCAAACAAATTTATCTGTTGAGATATATGAATAGTATCTACCAATCTGTGAATAATTATTTAATAGTGAAATCATGCGTACACTAGTTAAGTGTATACTCATCGAAAAAGCATGTGGTAGGTTGAGTATATCATTTAATGCACAGTGCCAAATTAGCTTGTGTGTAG